CATTCCTATTGGCCCAGACAAGCTGGATCGTGATTGGATGGCTTGAATGTTCCTGATTGGCTCATACAGGGTTTGCCGCGACTGGCTAAAACCAAGCGCGGCAAACTCAAAGAGTTGTCATTGGCTGCCTAGCCGCAGCCAGCTCTATAAGAAGAGCTGCCGCACGCTAGGGTTTTGTCTCAGAATCTATCTGTAAAATAAAGAGCTGTTCTTCACTACTCGAGCCTCGTCTATTCATGGGACCCACCGACCGAACTTAACAACTGATATGGGTAATTTGAAGATATATGTGATATGATGCTTGTCACATTGACAATAAAAGCTAGATAGTTAATATGTCCCAGTTCAAAGTAGAAAGTCTACGCTTCTATCAGAATCGACTTGAATAAATTGGATCACTAGCCTAGTTTTTCTGACTGGCTTGAAATCGTATGTAAGAAAGCAAAAAGAAATAACCAAGTGAATTCAGAGTTCAAGGTGCAACAAGGTACTATGTTTGAATAAAGGACCATAATGATCCCTTGAAGATACAGTTGCATGACCACTGTAATTGTACAGTCTGCCAAAGTCATGGAGTACTGTAGCTAAATCAAAACGCCTTAAAGCTGGAAACATGGTTCCTGAGGAACCAATTAAAGGACTAAAGGAAACCAACAATTTTTTTTGAGCAACTGAAATATGAGTAATAGACATTAGTGATGTCCATCAACTGCCAACAAAACTTTCTTCCGTAAGAATGAAAGAGTAATATTCAAGGTGAACCTTTGGCCATGAATAAAGGCTGCAGCTCTTCAAGGATGTAAAATATTCTAGGAAGAAACCAGCTGTGCCTTCACCACACTGAACTGGACTTTTTCTTCATAAAATAATGATCTGTCAATGAATAGGCATACTAGCTTTATTCTTCCAAAACAACTGAAGAAGTTTGATATGAAATCCTATGTACTACAGTATATACACTGTGAAGTTTTCAATTCAATATGGAGAGGTGTATTGCAAACTGTTGGTGCTCTGTCACTCTGTAAACTGAATGACTGTCCTCTTTAAATAACAAATGTTCAGTCCTAACTCTAAATTCTGAGAAAAAGCCCAGGAACTTAATCATATATGATATACAAAGCAACACTTTAGATTATAAGCCATCAATATATGTTGATATATTTCATCTAATAAGCCAAGTTCTGCTTTAATGTACTTTAATTTGGAAGTATTTAAAAAGAAAGCAGTTTTACTCTTGAACCTCATAAAGGTTATCTATATGTTTAGATGTATGTGTTGTAGAGAGCTTATGTCATAAATCCTCACAGGCCATTAGTAAGGCTGTCAAACTGTATTTCCACAGAAAGTATGAAAGTAACAGGGTAGGAAACAATACTGTGCAATCACACAGAACTGCTGTGTAAATATAGAGCAGGTGCAGTCCAAACTCAAGTCTGGAAGAAACAATAGCCAGGAGTTCACTGACCAGAAAGAGCAAGAGAAAAGATTCAAATCCTGGGGTTGATAGATAGAGGTGTATTTATGCAATCTACATCAAGCAGATCTTCTGTGCATTTATACTTTATGTTTTGTCTGTAATAAACTAGGTTTTTTTTTTTGAGGATCATCAAGTCTATTAAGTACCATCCATTACTCAGTTCTTGAATGGAACTGGGGTCATTGTCCACATGGAAGTCCTTGAAAATCACCAGGAAGCTTCAATTAGTTCAGAGTGCAGCAGCTTCTTTATTGGTTGCATGAGCGATCATAAAAATACTACACTTGTCCTCACTTTTGGGTGTAAGGCCCTTGTCATTATCTATAAAACCTTATATGACTTGGTGCCAAAATATCATCAAAATGTTCTTCAGCCAAAGTCAATCTGTCTGATTTATTTGTCCTGGAAAAAAACATAGACAGTCTCCATTTCCCTTAAGTATATTCCATAGAGGGCTTTGCTTTTTAATGACATTTAACACTACCATGAAATTGTAATTAGATAGTATAGTTCCTACACTTTTGAACAGCTTCCTGCTTAAAGTGAGGTCTCTATCTTCAGTATGGTCTTCTGGAAACTATTAAAACAGGACTTGATCTGGAGATCCTAGAGTATTTATTTATTTATTTATTTATTTGATTTGCCAATTGTTTACAAGATAATAAGTATAAATGTATACATAGTTGTGAATACATGAAATGGGTACATATAAGAAAAATAAAAGAATAAGAGAAACAATAGGACAGGGACGGTAGGCACGTTGGTGCGCTTATGCACGCCCCCTACAGACCTCTTAGGAAAGGGGTGAGGTCAATAGTAGACAGTCTAAGGTTAAAGTTTTTGGGGTTTGGGGAAGAAACTACAGAGTCGGGTAGAGTATTCCAGACATTGACCACTCTATTGCTGAAGTCGTATTTCCTGCAATCAAGTTTGGTGCGGTTTACTTTGAGTTTGTATCTATTGTGTGCTCTTGTGTTGTTATGGTTGAAGCTGAAGTATTCATTGACAGGTAGGACATTGCAATGTATGATTTTATATACCATGCTTAAGTCAGACCGAAGACGGCGTAATTCAAGGTTTTCAAGTTCTAGAATTTCAAGTCTGGTGGCATAAGGTATTCTACAACGAATAGAGGAGTGGAGAACTCTTCTTGTGAAATATTTCTGGACTTTCTCAATTGTGCTAATATCAGATACGTAGTGTGGGTTCCAGACTGATGAACTGTATTCGAGTATTGGTCTAGCAAATGTTTTGTATGCTCTGGTTAGTAGTGTGATATTACCAGAGAAAAAGCTACGTAGGATTAGGTTAACAACTCTTAATGCCTTTTTGGCTATGTAGTTGCAGTGGGCTCTAGCACTTAGATCATTAGAGGTGAGTATTCCAAGGTCCTTTACAGAGCTTGAGTCATCAACAAGATCTTGACTATTCAGCTTGTATTTTATTTTCTGATTTTTTTTGCCAATATGTAAGACAGAGCATTTATTTGTTGAGATTTGAAGTTGCCATTTGTTTGACCACTCTGATACAAAGTATGAATGTCACCCAAGGAAACTGTAATTATGGATTTATGATTTAATGAGTTTTCATTTTCACCATGGACATTTTATTTCTATGTCTTCATTACTGCAAACTGCCAAGTGTTTCAAGACTAGAGCAGGTAAGAAATCCAATAAATAATAAATAAGTATTCAAGGAAACTGTTGTGAGGAACTGCCAGGAAAGCAGAACACTGGAAAAGAGAGAGGCAATGGTTCCTGCCAAATGTTTAGCTCAAGAATGATCCAACAGACGTACAATATGCCAGTGCAGACTCCCGTTAATGTGAATCAGGTAGAACCCCTTAAAGAAGAATGATGGCTTGTCACCCAAGGTGATGTAATGGACACCTGCAGAAGCAGTAGGGAAAAGCTTTGGCAACACAGAGCTTTCCAAGAGAGAGGCCTAGCTTAAGAGGAAGCACAGTCCCGAGTTGGAGGGAGGAGGGAGGAAGAAGTTCAGAATCACCATACCCTAAAATCTGTTCATATACCTGGTAGCTTAGAAATTTATAGCTTTAATTTGGCAATATTCTGTCCATTATAAAGAACTGAACTTGAATGAAAGTTGCTGGGGGAAAGATGCTTCCTTGAGATTCAATCGGATATTTCAGAGAGGGAGCCCACAGCTGCATAATAGGCAGAGGAAAAAACTCAGAAAGGATCCTCCCTAACTTATCAGGCTGTAAAAAAAGACAGTGGGAGATTTGTATTTTTAGACTTCCAAGATTCTGTTAATGTAGCTTTACAATAAAGTAGAATTAGCTCATCTTGTAGTGTTTCCTGTCTGGGTAAGGCTAACAAACACTTGAATATATATAATTAAACTATAGAAGTTAATTTTACACCTTCAAAATTCAATTTTCTCTGAGGTGTTGCTATTTTTTCCCCTTATTTATCTAAGGTACATCAAGTATTCCTTCTTGTTGAATTTTATTTATAGTGTTCTTTACCAATCTCTTTCTACAATAGCATGATTTTCCTAACTAAAATAAAATGTGCCTTTTCTAAGTGGCCTGTTTTAAATTCCCTTCCTTTCTGGATTCAAAAGTTAGAATGGTCCAAGAGCTGAAAGGAAAGATAGTCTCATATCACCCTTCCCTCCATTTCAGGAGACGTACTTTCTTGGTGTTACCTTATACAGTTAATTTCATGAATTGGTTTACTGGCTCTCTTCCTCAAAAGATTTAAGACATGCATTATTAATTGCTCACCAGAATGCAGATTTAAAGCCTATAAATCTGATCTGCATCAAATTGTACTTTGATGCACTCATATGCACAATTATAGCCAGACAATCATGGCCTATTCCAGGATCAGTAATTCCATTCCTCATTTTGTTTTCTTCCTCCCTGTGCCAACATTTTATGTCCAGTGCATGTAACCCAGGCTTATGTGACCTGTTTTAGAGGTCTTTTTTTCCCTTTCCTTTCCTTTCCTTTCCTTTCCTTTCCTTTCCTTTCCTTTCC